GTAAAAAAAAATATAAAATGAAAATAAATAAAAATGTTTAAAAAGTTGCTTCATTTTACAATCTTTTTTTCTTGTACACATATTAAAGTGAATGTGAACCTACTCATGAATAACAGAATTATTCCGTGTGAAATATCGGTCATTCGAATGACGGAATGACACTTCTTTCTCCGTTAACTAGTTGAATAAATAAGGAAATCACGTTTCCACGATACGCTTGCCTTTAAAATGGCTACCTTTTCGTGGAAAAGGCACGATGAGCACATTAACGGCGGTTCCATAAAGTGAACGACGTTAATTTCGCGATAAGAAAGAACGTACGAGGCGAAGATTCGAATTGTGTTCACCACGCGAGTTATTTGCATTCCACCGGAGAGATTTCTCGGTAAAACGATCTCGCGGAGATATTCAGGAAGTCGAGCGCGCAGGAAGTTTGGAAAGTGGACGTTTGCCATCAACGCTAAATATTTTGTCTGTGCCTCGGTTCACCAGGAATTTAGAATGTTAAATAAATAATCGATAAAAAGGAGTGACTTAAGAAAATCGGAAATTGAACCTGTCGAGGGTCGTTGAACTCGAATTTTCCTGTGCTTTTTGTCTTTTCTTTTGGACTACTTTAAACAGTGATATTTGGAGGAGTAAGATTATTGCGTTCAAGGAATGTATAGAAAATTAGAATGGGGTAAGAAAAAAAGTTAGAAGATTAGAAATGGTGAAATTTAAAAATTAGAAGACTGAAAGTGGTAAAATTTAAAAATTAGAAGATTAGAAATGGTCAAATTTAAAAATTACAAGATTTGAAGTGGTAAAATTTAAAAATTAGAAGACTGAAAGTGGTGAAATTGAAAAGTTAGAAGATTAAAAATGGTAAAATTTAAAAATTAGAAGATTAGAAGTGGTAAAATTGAAAAATTAGAAGACTGAAAGTGGTAAAATTTAAAAATTAGAAGATTAGAAATGGTCAAATTTAAAAATTACAAGATTTGAAGTGGTAAAATTTAAAAATTAGAAGACTGAAAGTGGTGAAATTGAAAAGTTAGAAGATTAAAAATGGTAAAATTTAAAAATTAGAAGATTAGAAGTGGTAAAATTGAAAAATTAGAAGACTGAAAGTGGTAAAATTTAAAAATTAGAAGATTAGAAATGGTCAAATTTAAAAATTACAAGATTTGAAGTGGTAAAATTTAAAAATTAGAAGACTGAAAGTGGTGAAATTGAAAAGTTAGAAGATTAAAAATGGTAAAATTTAAAAATTAGAAGATTAGAAGTGGTAAAATTGAAAAATTAGAAGACTGAAAGTGGTAAAATTTAAAAATTAGAAGATTAGAAATGGTCAAAATAGATACAATAAAAAAGTAACAAAATTTTAAACATTGATAAATTAAAGTAATTCCAAAAGGTACTCAAATTTTATGAAATAAGAAACTTTTACTATTCAAATAAATGATTGCAAAATAGACAGTACAAACTTTTGTATCGACAAAACGGTGGTCTTCCACTTTAAACTAAAAAAAGGTAGAAGCACGAGTAAGTATATCGAAATCGAAGTGGAAAGAAACGAGAATGAAGCAGGAAGAGAAATCCTTGAGAATTTGATAAGTACATCGACCGAATGCATCAGTTCGATACAAGCTAATGATCGGTTGCATACTTTCGTTACAACTTGTACTGCAATTATGGATCGCGTTCCATCCGTCAGGAAAGTAGCAATCTTATTGGACATGCTCCCGTGATTTCCACTAACCAGGAGACAAATTATCGTGACTCTACTTCGATACCGAAATTTCGATATTCAACGTACATTTCCCATATTATTGCTTCGGTTTCTCGTATTATTCGCTTCAGGTCTCTAAAAAGGTTCGTTCAACGTTTTTCTTCTTTTTTTCGTTCAACTTTCGAGCACCAGAAATTATAAAGAAAATTAAATAATTTTCTAATTTTGACATTTTCTGTGAAACAATTTTGTAATATTTCATAAATAATTCTAACGTGTCTTATAAACATTTTGAAACTCTTCTGTATTCAATTTTAGTGTTTGTTATGAATAACTTTTTCTGTGAAAAATTTTAGGAAAAACTTTGCCAAGTATTAAAGCAATTTTCGTAATTCATTTTAAAGCTTCTTGTGAACAGTCTTAGAAAGAATTGCTAATACTTTTTTATTTAATTTTAGTTATTTACATAATTTTTTCCACTATTAATTTAACGAATAATTCTACTGTGTTTCACTGACTGTAATAACAGACTGACGTTAAATCGAACGAAGCTTCATCGGCGTTATTATTTATGATTTAGCTGTCGATTTCGTGTGACTCATC